TGGGTGCTAGGAAGTTGCTAGGTGGTTGTTGTTCACTGTTGGTGGGCTGCTTTGACATAGGTCAAATATCTATATACTAGATTGCTCAGGTCCATTTTTGATTGATCCAGTATAACTGGATGTTTCTCATGACATGACAAAAGGAGAACAACACCCAGCTCTTTTATTCCCATGGTCAGTTATTTTAGCCCTTAGGGCTGGTTTTGTTTGTTAACCTGAAATCTGCCCTGGACCCTCCTGCTGTGGCCAGAGTATGGAGAAAATACTTGAAAACTGGTTTGACTTCCCCAAGAGCCGGGAGTGAAACTTCAACTGTCTAATAAACACAAAGAACTCAACAATCAGGTGGACGTCTCAGACCTGAGTCTCTGTCTACTTGGGTGTGGACAGAAAAGCTTGAGAGTAGAGGCCTGCTTCATTTGAGGCTGTCCATTTGCTTGGAGCTGCTGAGAAGCATGTTGGGGAACTCCGTAAACGGGAATGGCAGAAAGCTGAGCCGTTCTGAGGCTATTCTACAGAAAGTCAACCATCTTTGGTGAGATACAAAGTTGTGTGCAAGAACTTTAAATGTTGTGGGGTTATCATCCTAAAAGAACGTTTTACTGGGGAAAAGAAACATTTTTTTATAGCTTAGAGTTCTCAATTATGTTTCATTTAACTTTCTAATCTAAGCACCGTTTTATAATGTAGGCGATATTTCTTTGTAAGTGAGGTGTGAGGACTGATGGGAACTCTGTGGCGACAGTGTCTCTGTGAGGGATGTTCCCATCTGAGATCCTTCAGCTCAGTATGCCTGCAGCTGTGGGAATGGTTTGGGATTGGCAGCAAGTCCGTTTGAGGTAGTTTAGAGGGCTGAGTGGGCTAATTGTAGGCTTGACAGATAACATCCTTTTAAAACTACATAAGAGGCTCGAATTACACACACACACACACACAGAGACAGGGAATGTTCAAAACAAGTTAAGCTCTATTGACCGTATCCGTGACATGCTGTCAGAATCCGTGACATTTGACTTGTAAGAAGTTGTATTGTACTGCATTTACATTGGAAATCAATAGGACAAGGCATTTTAAAAACAAAAAAGTGAAGATAATATTTTCTATATTCTATAGTGCCTATATTAATTCACCCTTATAAATGTGTTATTTGAGCTGTTAAGTTGTCTAAATCATTCTTTTAGGTAGATGAACTTCATGTCACTTCAGACCTGTAACTTTTTTTCTGACAGATCATGATTAGATTCAAAAGAAGGATTTGTCCCTGAATCTTCTAAGATTTTGAGTTGGATGTAATTTTATGGCACTAATGATGCTTTTGCTTTTGAGTCCCCAATCAGGGTAATTGCATGGAAAACTCTGCATCTCTTTTTTTTATTTCATTTTCATTTCATTTCTCAATAACAATCAGAAATGCAAAGCTTGAATACCTCAGTCCCCATTCAGGGTTAACTGCAAGGTGACCAGTACAAACAGTGACCAGTACAACTCTCCAATATCTCCTTTTGTGTTCTACAGAAGAAAGAAAACTTTTTAATTTAATTGGGAAAATTGTTTCACTTCTGACATTGAGATTTTTTACTAGATATATTATTTTCTACAAATAATTTATTATATTTGTTCTTATTTATTATATATTATATTCTTATTTATTATTATTATAAAATAAATAAAATAAAATAAATATACTAAAATAAATCTAACACTTTTTAATTTAATTTAATTTAATTTAATTTAATTTAATTTAATTTAATTTAATTTTTCATTTCATATCCTTTTGTGTTCCACAGACGAAAGTTATATAGGTTTGTATCGGCATGATGAGTGAGTAAATGAATTGTCAGATTTGGGTGAACTGTTCCTTTAGCCAAAAGCAGCACTTTTATCAGCAGAATGTATCGGTGGCTGTGGGGATAGAGAAATGCTGGCATGAGAAAGGACAATTGGAAAAATGTCAAAACAGGTCTGATAAAGGGATGCAGAAACCTCAAACTGGTTTAGAAGTAATAGATTTTGGGCTGATAACCCAAAAAAAAGGCGAGAGAGGAGAGGAGTGAGTCATAACATGGTGTGAGAAGCCAGTTAGAGCTGCAGAACAGATTACTCAGCGCTGATTTGTCATCTGTGCATGCATACAAGTAAGTAATGTGTCTCTCTCTATTTCTCTCTATCACTCCATCATAAGATCGTCGGTCTTCTGCTGGTGTGGAGCTCAGGTGGTCGTAGTGGGAGGCAGTCAGCTGAAGAGGTGTCAGACAGTATTAGTTGAGCAGGTTGTGATGAAGACGAGTGAGCCGTGTGTGGGCTTGTTTTGGGGGCATGGTGTTGTTTTTTGGTAGCGATACACCGATACCATTTTTTGGTGACTGTGTGTAGTGATTTCTTGCAAATGTTGGTTAAAGATATTTGTGATTTAGATTTGAGTGTGTTTAGTGTATTAACCCCACTATGAATAACATCAAATGCAGGATGCCATATCTGCACGAGAAATGTCATCTGCATCTTTAGTTTTTGCATGTACACTTGTTTTAATATCACTTGTGGTTTTCTCAGAGAGTTTTGTTTGTGTTTTGTGCATTTTTGCAAATTGCAGAGAAATTAACGTACAGCATTTGTCAGGTAATCTATTTATCTATATTATGTTTAAACGTGATTTTCTCTTAAAGCACACTCTGTTCTGTAGTTCTTTGCTGGTGTCAGATAGCTTATTGCTAATTCATGTAAACACAGTCAAATTAATTTGTATTAGCAGGTGCACCTGACAGACCCAGGGAGCAGCGCTGCTTTGCATTTTCTGTATGAATCCTGCTACTCTTTCTGCCTCCAGGTTTTCCTGAGCCTTTCCTAACCATTGCCCAATGTGGATCTTAAAGGGGTCATATTATACATTAATTCTAGTTTCTATATTAGTGTTCTTCTTGCTGAATTGATAAGAGCCTACCGTTAACAAAATGCTAAGTTTATGGGTTTGATTTTTAGCAGGCTCGCATAGTCAGACCTTCAGACTGACGGCAGACGGTCTGGGAACCTTGGCCACTTTGAATGGCCAAGGACTGCCCAAGAGGCTGTATGACTGACAGGTTAAGCAACCAATCACGTTTTGATTTATCCTTAAATTGGATGAAAGTGTCTGCCAGATACAAAAATGTATTTTACCCCGAAAAGTTTGGGGTCAGTAAGATTTTTAATGTTTTTGAAAAAAGTATTTAATAATAAAAAAAGTTGTATTGTGAAATAATATTACGGTTTAAAATAGCTGTTTTCTGTTTTAATATATTTTAAAATGTAATTTATTCCTGTTATGGCAAAGCAGAATTTTCCACAGCCATTACTCTAGCGTCACATGATTCTTCTGTTTTTGCTACTGTGCCTTTAAGAATTTATTGTAAATGCACTCTCTTATGATTTGTTAACCTCTTCAAGTTTGAACACTTATGGATTGCAGATTTACTATCAGAGACATCAGTGTGCTTTGAAAGATTATACAGAGTTGTAGGTGCTACACACAGATAGGAATAGCACAGTGTAGGTGAACTTTTGTGAGGAAATCAAAATGGATCAGAAAATGCAAGATTTGTAGTGTAAATACTTTTAGAGCTGTCTGGTGTAATGTTTGTCTTCAAATAAATGCAAATACCCACACTCATCGTCTCTATGGAAATGTCACTGGCATTGTGTGTGTTGTATCAGCCTCTTGTGCCACATCTCAGTCAAGCATGGCTTATGTGCTGTGACAAATCAGCAGCTTGTACCACTGTCAGAACTCCCCGACGACTTCAGGGGCTTTTCAGGCTAATGAAATGAGTCATCTCTGGCGATCCAAAGAGTTAAAGATCTAACAAAACACTGCTGCGCCTTTGGTGACAGGACATGTTGTTGGCATCTGACATCCCTTTTAAGATGTGTCTCAGCCACTTGTACCTGAAATGGGTTTTCGTCCTGCTGTCTAAGGTGACCTCAGATTCATTTGGTTTTTAACAGTATGCAAATAGTCATTAGTTAGTCAGTAGTCATTAGTTCCTCCTCAAAAGTGCTCATTTTAGCAGAAGGGGAATTTGCAAACACGACTTTGTTAACCAACAGGCAGTTTAAAAAAAAAAAACTGGCCACTTTGACTCCTGGAAATGGTGAAAGTCAGCCAATAACATTTGAGCTTGCTGTTTTGAGATTTTCTTTTGCCATTTTTGCGTGCAGTATCCAACAGACAGTGCCTGAATGATCTGTGGGCTTGACATCTGAAGGTGCATTCAATCCGACAGTGAATAAATCGCTGAAGGTCACCCTCCAGAGGGTCAGCTCTCATTGAAAATGCTTTTCTGTGCTTATAAGCTGTTTATTTCAGCTATGTTAGACCAAACATCACTATATAAGTCACTATATAACATTCATGGTCCTGTTAACTGTAGGGCCAACTCATGCAAAATTCAGTGTAATAATAAAATAATAATCTGGTTTCAGTCATGATGAATAGATCATTATCAACTTGAGTGCTATAAAAATAAAGCATTAAAAACCGCTACGTGCCTTCAGACAGACATTCATATGCATCCAGACTGGCATGGAGGAACAGATTGTGTGCCAAATAGCAGGGGAGTTTTAATTGATTTAGGATCGGCTGTTAAAAGCGTTGCGAGCTGAGAGCAGTCTATGTTATGTGAAATAATGTGTTTGAACTGAGGCGCTGGTTTGAGTCAAATTATAGGCCAGTGGAGGGAGTGAACAAAAACTGAGGGCTTGATTCTACTCCATGCGGTGTGTCATTGAGCCGTAATGTTTCTCAGCCTGCATTCACACACACACACACACCCACCCACCTGTGGTTCTTTCAGCATCTTGCATATTAACTAATCAATTCCTTCTCAGCTGGAGCAGTCAATGACGCCGAGCATTTCTAATTTGATCTTCAGACGAACACTTGTAAAAAATGTGCTAATGTGAATGATCTGATTGCTTTGAGTTGTTAATGTCCTGGTTTAGTTCTGAGGATTTTTGTTTGTCCACAGGAAACAAGATGGCAGAATCCCGCGAATATCTGACCCGCTAGAACGTCCTGGTCTGGTCAAGTCCTTTTTGCCATCACCTGCTCTGACTCTTCTAAAGGTTTGGCAGGTTTTAACATTTCACTCCTCTTTCCTCTAATCATGTTATATTCCAGAGTCTTAGGTCCAGTTGGAGATGTGGTAGGAATATCAACTGCCTTCTCTCATTTATTTCTTCCTGCTGTTCACTTGTCTTTTCCTTTTTTTTCTGTGACAACCATCTATTACAAATAGATGAGCTGCTTCTTTTTGTGTGTGCATATTACATATAACCTCTTTTCTTTTTCTTTTTCTTTTCTTTTATAATTTAGTTAAGTTCTGTGGAAGACTGGATTATTGGAGTGGCACAAAAATAAATAAATAAAAGAATGAAATTATTAATTTAAAATGAAAAATGTACAATACCTTTCTAAAGTTTAGGGTCAGTAATGTTACAAAATCATGTTAGAAAAGATTTCAGTTTCAAATAAATGCTGTTCCTTTGATCTTTCTGTTTATCAAACAATCCTAAAAAAATTAAAAATATATATAAAATATAAAAAATTATTAAGCAGCACAAATGTTTTCAACATTGATAATATGAAATGTTTCTTTAGCATCAAATCAGCATATTAGAATGATTTCTGAAGAATCATCTGACAGTGAAGACTAAAGTAATAATGCTGAAAATTCAGCTTTGCATCACAGGAATAAATAACATTTTAAAATATATTTCAAAAGAAAACAGTTATTTTAAAGTGCAAAAATATTTTACAATTGTCACTGGTGAATGCAGGAAGACAGATGAAGACAATGAATTACATTCCAAAACACAAAGTTTAATAATACTATTCCAACAAGCAGGCAAACAGGCAGAAGCAAAACACCCTTAACGCAACAGTGACCGGACCCAGAATGAAAGGAAGGTAGAACTTAAGTAGTCGGTGCGTTCCAAACGGGATATATCGCCCTCCGAAGGGCACTTCGGAGTGAAAACAATCATGGCCGCCATATTGAAGGGTCGTTCCAAACCGAAGTGTTCAAAACTGGCCACTTCAAAGGGCCCTTCGGAATGAAGAATTTCGAAGGGTACAACTGCTAGACACTTCGGGCTCCCATGATCCTTTGCGCAGATTCTTTGCATGATGATGGCACTTCCGTGTGGTCACGAGATGATGTCACAGAAGGGCACTTCAAGAAACACTTTGTTAGGGCACTTTGGTCCCCTACACCCTTCAACCATTCGAAGCTCTCACTCCGGAGGGTAAACCCTTTGAAGGGATTAGGGTGTGGGGATGAGCCCTTGCGAATGGAATTCAGGGTTCGACTACAAATGAGGTAATTAATGAAAGACAGCTGAAAACAACAAACTCATAATGACGTGACCATAACAAGGAGTGGCGGGAAAATCAAACAAAGGAACACATGTGCTGAATGAAAACAAACAAAGTCCATGATAACTAAAACAAACTGGACATAACTGTGACAACAAAATTGGTAACCCAACCCCAAACTTTTGAACAGTGTTGTAAATAAATAATCACTTTTCAAATTGACATATACACTTGGCATACTACAAATACAAATTTATAACTTTTGACTGAATTTTATTTAAAAAAATTTCCTTTCTTTAAATTTTTCTTGGTAGCCAACCAACGTTCATTGGTTGGTTTCACAAAATGAATTCTCCATGGCATTTGATTGGCAAATATATAGAAAAATTATTATTATTATAGTATTATTTTGACTTCATGATTGATTCCTTTATTTTATTTTAGGCAGCACTCCCAGTCCTCCATAGAAAGGATTCTTTTGTAATTCATGCTTAATTGGTTGAAGTGTGTCACCAGATAAGTCTGCGCTAGCTCTCCAAGATTCCCCCTCAAGGACCAACATTAACCCTAACCAAGTTTAACTTTAGAAATTATAATTTGTTGAGGAACGGAATGCTAATTCGATCCAAAAAGATATCAAAGCTCTTCTAGGCATTAAGATGAACTGCAAATTAAAGCCACCTTTTACTGAAATGGTGTCGGTCCATTAGGGAACTTTCAGGGAGTCTTTAAATACATTTTTGAGGAGGCTCAGCCTCTCTTGTCTCCGCTGACGGACCCTCACTCAGCAGAACCTCAAAAAGTACCACTTTTTTGTAGGGTTGGGTACCGAAACCCGGTGCCAATATGTACCTATGCACCGGTACCTATGTAATCTGTATGTACTAGAACCAAATCAGAACGCAGATTTCGGTGCCACCAATGCTTGAGCGATCGATTGAAATATTTGTTCTCTGGTTCTCCGAAACGGACGTAAGGATCACCGGCACCGCACGTGAAAAATAATTTCCCGACTGAGAAAATTCACGAACGCAAGTCGGAAAGCTCTAATAATACAAATCCAACACATCTTTGTAGTAACGCGCGAGTGTCCATGCTGTTTTCACATTCGTGGCCATTCTGTTTTCACATTCCGACTTAAAAGCACAACTCGGGAAATGAGAGCATCCGAGGAGCGCGTGAATTCAGCAATTACACTTGCTCTGATGGCAGCAGGTAGACATCGTTCTATACTGTAAAAAGCATATGGTAAAAAGGCTATGTCGATTAGCAATGGATTATAAATATACTTAATTATGATGAAAATACCAAAGGCAATGGCTTCAATGGCTTGAATAACAGATAAACTATACATTGTCGCAGTCGAGTGTTTATTGTCTTTGTTTTATCATTCAAAACGTTTATATCTTTTGTTTACTCAGTTACAGCGATAGCAATGCCTTTGTCCATATTAGGGATTTCCTGAGTCCTATTCCTTCTGTAATGCTCATGTAGAGTTTCTGCACGAGGGCGCCCTCTGGCGTCCAGTATGAATGAAACAGACATTAAATGTGTTTATAGCACTCAATAATGGCCAATCCATGCTATTTTGGGGAAAAAAAAAAAGTCTTTTAGTATCGGTTCAGGCACTGTTTAGGCACCGGAACCGTTTTAAAAGTATCGATTTGGCACCGGTATCGGAAAAAACCCAAACGAGACCCAACCCTACTTTTTTGGTTATTTTATATCAAGACTTTAGCTATTTATTATCTGAAGAAGAATCATTGCTAGCTCTTCTCCTGGGACACCTATTCACCTCATTTAACACCCAAGTACTTTTTTAATTGAACTCATCTGTGTCTCTGAGCTGCTCTGAGAGCCATTAGCTCAAGGGCTTCTGGGAACCAGGAGGACTGAAGTGTCCGTGTTTAGGGATGTCCTAGAATGATTAGTGTCTCGATGGCATTGTGAGCGGTTGAATAAGATTAGCTTAGTCTGGATTGTGTAGTTAAGCATTTATGTATTTCACTAAGAGTCTCATAATGCAAGATGCTTATACAATCAGCTCAGCATCTCTGTAGAGCCACACTGGGCTTATAATGGCTGCGAATTTGTTGAAACATTTTGAAACATTTAATGTTGGGGAAGTCGTGGCCTAATGGTTAGAGAGTCGGACTCGTAACCCAAAGGTTGAGCAAGGCACCGAACCCCCAACTGCTTCCCGGGCGCTGCAGCAAAAAAATGGCTGCCCACTGCTCCGGGTGTGTGTTCACTGCTGTGTGTGTGCACTTTGGATGGGATAAATGCAGAGCACTAATTCCGAGTATGGGTCACCATACTTGGCCACATGTCACGTCACGTCACGAATTTAGTTTCAGCATGATCCGAGTGAAATTGGATTTTAAACAAGTTACCTTACCATGCATTTTTTAATTTTGTGTTTATTGTCGGTGGATTATTGGCTTTGCATTAAGGTTTTGTTGTATTAACAGTAAGCAAGGTTGTATAATGCAAAATAAGGTTTTATTGTACACATAGTTGACTAATTTTATACAGAATTCAGAAATGGGTATCTTATCAAATAAAAATATTGTAAATGTGTTCTTTTTAATATCTCAGTAGTTCCATTTGAGAGCAAACTGAGACTTTTAAATGGCAAATGTTTCATTATATATTTTTTTGGGACCCCAAAAGCATTAAATGGACTAATTTTTTCCTGTCTGCTCGCTTTAATGCCACAGTTCAAGATGGACACTAATGAAGGGCATGAAAATGTGTGCATCATTTTCTTGCATTGCTAGAGTAATTCATCACATGGCATTTACAGCTGACCAATATTAGAAACAATTAAAGATTTTAACTGACATAAAATAAGTTTAGGTTGAAGTGCTATAATTGCAAACACTAAAACTGAAATAAAAATAAAGCTAAATAGTAGCTAATGAAAATGACTAAAGCACATAACAAAATTACTAAAACTTAATTACAATTAAACCGAAAATATAAAAAAACTAATTCAAAATATTTATCAATAAATATTCATAAAATGTTTATTCACTCTGCCACATAAGAAAATGCTATCGAGATCCAGGTATTATAGACCTTGTTGGTTGCTGACGTCACGTTTGTTGACATGGCTGTCATTTTCTTCTCAGAAAAAGATGCTAGTAATCAATAGTAAACACCTCTAGAGTTTCAGAAGAGATCTCAAAATGTTGCACACTGTGCAATAGATTTCAGAGATTTCAAAATGAAATCAAAACATTTCTTGTCAGCTATGCTATCTACATTAATTATACAGCTCTATACTTTTACTTTACTGTATGTCAGCAATTGTCTCATTTCTTTCTGTTTTTATTTGTGATACTTAATTTTAGGTGAAACATCTGACATGAAGTTGATACTGAAATGAAAATAGATGAGGAAAAAGTCTCAGCAACCTCTGAGAGTTTGTTTTTTTCCCCTCTGGGAACAGACATTGCGTAGAAACCTGCCTCAGAGGAGTGAAATTCTGGGTTTCCCATACCAATTCATTTCAGAGTCTGTAAACACCTTGATCCTGGGAACAGGAGGGAGGGATGATCCCACAATCATAAGTTTTGGATGCTACATTAGATTCCCCTGAATCCCAGAGCAATAACAGCATTACAGCAGAATGGTTTTACCACAACACCACCATGCAACTTTTGTATGAAGATATTAGAAAACATAGAAGTTCATTTTGAACAAGGCTTACATCTAAAACTATTCCCGTAACTCTGCTTTGGTTGCACATTATTCACTTTTATAGCCTTTTTGAAGCTGTTTTCTGTCATATTGTCTTAATATATTCTCACATTAAGGTTATTAAACAGCCTGCCTGCCCACGACGCTCATGCTGTTGTAGTATTTCTGTAATACAGTATTGGCAAATGCATTATAGTTGTGCAACTCTGGCCATAATGTGACGAAAGGAAGTCATATTATCTTTCAGCAACTATGACATCATGTCATCTTACCATTGTACATTTTTACTATAAAATATAATACTCTCAGAGCTTCTCATTTACACTATAATATAATGGGAAATATTTGCAGCTATGTATTATATTAGATATTTGGAGAATGAAGAAAGCATTGCAATCAAATGCACAACACCACACCTGTTATTCTATAATGCTATTGCATCTTGAGGTCACCCAGAGGTCTTTTATTTAGAAAAAAAAGCCCAGACCTCCGCAAGCCAGTCATTGGGCATTTTTAAGTATTGAAAAGAGCAGTTTTGACATTTTGATAATTGGTGATTTCTGCAACAGCATTTTGGACAATTTGATTGTGCAGTTTAATTATCAAAGATACAAAAAAACTATTTTTTACATGCCTTTTGGCTTGTAAATTTGAGGGGGCATGTGCGGTTTGAATGGGCATGATACTTCTGTGCTCTCACACACACACACACACACACACACACACACGTCACTTTCCAGTGATTTCCTTCATTAGAGGCTGTTTCATATGGCATGCTTGACTAGAATAAAGGAAGTTGTAGCAGATTGAGGAAGCTATCTGTCTTTTTCTTGCCATCCCCGCTGCTTTTCTCATGAGTAGAACATATGAAGATTGAGAGAAAGAGTGTTTTGTTGCCGGTCACAGTCTTGTCTCTAAGGTTCAGCTGATTTAATTGACTTCATCATGGCTAAGAGTATGTACTGGCTTCGCAGTCCCGCACTCACTGCCATGCAACACCGCAGGCGCTTCAGTGATGTAAGTAGACTTAATGTATGAAAGTGTAAGGAAAAATCAATAATAGTGAATTTGTGTGTTTATATAGAAAGGCCAAGTGTAAGAGTGTAGACATAATGTATTAGTGTAATGTGTGATTGTGTTTCTTTTTACTGTAATGTGTGCCAATGTTTTACTTTTGATTTCGTTTTTAATCATCCTGTCTGATTTAACAGATATTATCATTATGTATAAATACTTCACAGTTTGAATAATATATTAGTATGTTTACAAGAAAATTTTTTTTGTTGCATTATGGTAATGTGAATTGAAATCTCAGTTATTGATCTGGTTTGTGACCAAGTTCAAAGATAACTGTAGATTTGAATTGTGATCATATGTTGATCTGAGGGTTTTGAGATCAGTACAGAGTGTACTGTGTAAGTTGTGATGCAATAGTCCTATAGGATGTCTTTGCTGAGAAAGAATTCTCACTTTCATTGAGAAATGTCAAATTCACTGCTTGGTTGATTTGTGAAATGAATTTAGGAAATAGCATTTCTGTCAAGTTTACATTAGCTGCATATGTGAGAACTAAATGTCCCCACAATGACAGAAGAACTTCAAATGACCTGTATTATGGGACTTCCCAACAGTTAATCAAATAAGGAGACTAATTAATGTCTTAATTAAAATAACTAAAAATGCACAAAGGTTTCGGCATGGGGTGGGTTAAGGGATAGACTTTGGGTTATAAAATGAAGATATTTAACTGGGTGTTTCTTCAACTTTAGGCACTCTTATGTCCTAGCGGTTGATTTATAATAAAACTAACAAATTCTGTATATGAATGTTACATCAAAAATGTCTCAGCAAACTTTTTATCATCCCTTCATTGATTTATATTTATCTTTTTGTGTCCCATACCCAGATTATAATTTTACATGAAAATCCATCATAATAATATGAGTTGATGCATTTTTAAAACTGTAATGATCTAAAAAAGTGAAATATACTATTTTTGATAGCAATTGTGCGAAAATTTGTTGTATTAATGTTTTCTAAAACTTTTTGTTTTAAAAGAGCTCTCTGAAAGTCAACAGGCCCAAAAGTGTCCATGGTTAAAGAAACATGCAGTTAGCTTAATATAAAAACAAAAGTAAATTAACCACAAGTGTGTGTGTGTGTGTGTGTGTGTGTGTGTGTACCTACTTAACCATATTTTGGGGACGTCCTCATTTGTAAAACTGGTATAAAAATAAAGTAAACAAAGTTTTTTTTTAATTGTAAAAATGCTGAAAGTTTCCTGTAAGGGGTAGGTTTAGGTGTAGGGTTGGTGTAGGGCGATAGAATATACAGTTTGTACAGTATAAAAACCATTGCGCCTATGGAATGTCCCCATTTAGATAGCTAAGTAAACGTGTGTGTGTGTGTGTGTGTGTGTGTGTGTGTGTATGTCTGATGAATCAGCGAGTCATAGGGAGAAACACATCAAAATTCCAGTTTCAGTGCAGTGTTTTGTTACATTGAAGTAATTTAAGGTACTCTGAACTTTGTGAGTGTGTTATGTAAGTGCAAGTTTACACCTGTGTATGTGTGATTTTTTTTGTTGAGAAAAATCAGTTACTGGCAATGATTTTGCAGAGTCCTACCTGACTCTGCAGTCATTTCAGCATTAAACATTAAAAATGGTACTGCATTCTGACAAACTAGGTTTTTTATCTTTTCAGTAGTGTTTGCCTTTGCAAAATTTGCTGCTGGGTTGCAAAGACGTTGCTATGTGGTTTCAGGGATGTTCTGATTGACTGTGGTGTTGCTATGAGGTTGCTAGGGCATAGTTAGATGGCTATAGGGGTGTTCTGATTGGCTGTGGTGTTGGTGTTATCCCGCCTTCAAAATAAACTCATATGTATTTTACCTGTTTTATCATCTGGCAGCAGAAAATCCATTCACTTAGAAAGTGCAGGATGAGTTAAGTTTAATATTTAGGGTTATGGGTTTATTCAAATACATAACCCTAAGTATGAGCATTATCAGACATGTTAATAAGCAGGCAGTGATTTCTGAACAACATTCCCCTTAATTCATGTTGGCTTTTATGCTGGTTTATTCTGAGCTGTGGGCTCAAAGATATCACACCGCACCGCAGCAGTAGCTAGTCAGGTCATATCCTTCATACGCACAGCTGCTCTGTCTCCGCGTTAAATTATGCTGTTTCACAGTCTTCATCTCCCATTGAGATGAACCGTATGATAGGGAGGAAGGACATCTGGTAGTCTGATGCACTGTTGATCATAGGATCAAGGCAGGGAGCTCCGTCCATTACTGCAAAGCCACTGTCACTGAGAGAGCCGAGAGTCGTTCTCATGTCAAGTGGACTCGCAGACTGTCAGATCTCACTCTTTCTTATTGTGTTCATCCTCCTCTCTCCCCTCTCTTTTCTGTTGCTCCTGATTCTCAGACATCAGATATATTTGCAATGATAGAGCGAATGCAGGTGAGAAGTCCACATTTTCATCCGGTTTTGTGTTTAGTGCTTTTCCTGCAATCTCTCGCTTTTTATGACCTCTGACCTTTTTGACCTGCAATATGGTGACACCTTTCCAGTCTTTGCTTATTATTACTGTCATCTACCTGTCATTTATATTCTGAGGTTCTCTCTCAAATGCGTCAAATAATTCACTTTATCATTTATACATGTAGCTTGAGCTCTTCTGTCATTATTTCTAGCCTAACACTGTTTTCAAGAGTTTATAGTCTACGCAAGTACACAGATTCTTGGTCGGCACATTTTAATGTTTTTTTGAACCTGGTAATCCATCATAATTTAAGCACAAAGAGTATTTTATGCTTCTGACATTTTTAAAATTAAGTTATAATGAAGTAGTAGTTTTTAAAAAATCAATAAATACATATTTCTTACTCATTTTATGTTTGAGTTTCCAAACGTCTAAAACTGTCAGTTTATTTCACATTGAAATAAGACTTTCAATCCCATAATTCTGTTACATAGCGTGCATAATTGCGTAAGGGCTGTAACAAATCTAAAGGGGGTGATAGAATATCTTTTTAATATCTGTTATTTAATTATACATTTATTTATAATAAATTAATTTTAAATATATTTATGCCAATGTCCATTGTTGCTTTCAGAGCTTGAATACTTGCGTAGAATATGTTTCAGGCCTAAGTGTCTCTGTATAATGTCTGTATTTAAATTTTTGCATTTATTAGCCATGTTTTCAATTTTTGAGATTTATCAAATGTATATATTATTTCAAGTTATTAACAAATGATGACTTTTAATTTCTGGTATTTACTATTCTAATAAAGTATATGATGTTTTTATTCCTTTATTCCATCTGATGGATGTTTTTTAATGAACTGGATTTATTAAATATCCTCTTCTTTTTTGTAAACACAGAGCAGCAGAATGGATGAGCAGAGGTGCACTCTTCCACCTCCTCTCAAAGTAAGTGTGTACATTTAGAGCCACACAAACAAGCATCAAGTGTTATAGTCATTACAATCCGTTCGCACAGTCACTGCCATCAGCGCTGTTTATCACATGTGCAGAGAAACACAGTGTTGCTTTTGTTACAGACGGATGTTTTCATATTAACCCTCATTCTCTTAGCTTTAAAGTTCAGAAAAGCTCTGCTGTTGACATTTTAATGCATCATAGGAGCTCTTCTGGCATGAAGGCTGTTTCAAAAGGTTGGCAGCATAATTATCCTGCCTATCAAAATACCTTTTGGCCAACCTGTAAGGCAGAGAAAAGACAATCCCAAAATGCACTGCAGGTAGCTTAGTGTAAAAGTGTAAGATGATGGTGATGTTTAAAATACAAGTATTGATTTATAAAATGTGTTCAAATGAGTAAACATGTACTAGGCAAGTGCAATTACAGTACATGTCACTGTTTCAGCATCTTGTGCCAGAAGCATTGCATCCTTTAAGATGAGTTAAAAATAGTTCAACTTTTTGTCATGATGCATATCAGTGTCAATTTTAATTTACTGCAGCTATCAGAGAAACATCAGAAAAATGTTTTCCGCTTAATTTATGTTTGTTGTTCTTAATCCATTGGCAGAGTTTTTTTTTCTTATTCTCAGCCCCAGTTTCTTTATTTTTGCTTATGAAAGTAAATGTGTCTTATAGATACAGTATTTGAAAGTATTTGAGCGGTATACAAATGCATCTTCTGTTTAGCTTTGCTCTCTGTCTAGTTGTTTGTTGTGCTAGAACATGTCCTTAGGCTGCACTCATACACAGACTGACTTACAATATAATGCTTTATAATTTTATGAGTTTATGATGGTGAATCACACTCAACTTGAAATATAAATGCCCATAATAGAAGAACATATAGAAGTACTTTGTTATTGTTCTGTGCATAAAACAAGCCAACATTAAACACCAGAACTTGTGATCTGATGCTTTCACCGCAGGCCTTGTGAATATTGTATACAGTTCAGGGTTTGTTTGGAATCATGAGTCTCCACAGGTCTCTTTATGCATCTTCATATTTCCTTCATCCGCAGCTTAAAGTGACTCGAATGAAGGGCTCAAAATGTCCACATCTCTAATACCAAAAATGTCTAATTTCTCTGTTTCTCCCATAGACAGAGGAAGATTACATTCCATATCCCAGCGTCCATGAGGTTGCAAACTTGTTTGGCTTTTTTATATGTAAATATGAATGTTTTCTTGTTGTACTGGTTGTAATATTGTGCTTTTTGTTTTTGTGGGCTGGCAGGTATTGGGTCGAACAGGCACTTTACCACTCATTCTGCTGCCCCAGTTTGGGGGTTACTGGATTGAAGGGACCAATCATGATTTAGGCTCCTCCTCCACACCAGAGGAACCGCCCCCTTGCCCTGCATCACAGGTTAAACTGGAGACGAACAGCATCGCCAATATCTATAGGAAACACTTCCTGGGCAAGGTGAGACAAAGTTATATTTAATTATTCATTTAATTAGCACTGAAATCAGGGTTATCAAAGCTAAATGAACTCTTAGTAATATTAGTAATCTAAAGTAATCTAAAGTAATATTTCACCCAAAAATGGAAAGACCACAGAAGGATCATAAAATTGGTTAATGAGACCCACAAGTCTTCTAAAGCCATAAAATAACTTTGTGTGAAGAATAAGTTAATCAATACATTATTTGTTTAAAATGTATTGCCTTATATAATATATTAGTATATAATACTATATAATACTATAAAATAATAGTTATATAATTTATAAGTTTTTATCTATCTATCTGTCTGTCAGTCAGTCAGCTAGGTTTTTTTTTTTTTTTTTGTTATGTTCAATAACCAGAATGATTGCCAATATTGTAATGAAAATAATAGTAATGTATGGAAAATGTAATATGCAGGTTATTTAAAAATAAATAAACAACCACAATGTGCGATCTGGAATTTTATATAGTAAAATCAACTAAAACCAAAAACTATATCAGCCTCATCAAACCACTGACTATCATTTAAAAAGACCAAATATTGGCAGTATGAAATTATATGAAATACAGTATGATATGTTATAGTCAGATATATTATGCCTTATTTGTAGATACAATTAATTTTGTTGTTTCCTTTTTTGTTGTTACCTTGTGTCCCTATATAAAAAGAAATGATTATTAAAAGAGTATTTTGCTTTGTATTTACATATCTATTTTATTTATCGTTCACGGTGTGTGTGTGTGTTCACTGCTGTGTGTGTGCACTTAGGATGGGTTAAATACAGAGCACTAATTCCAAGTATGGGTCACCATACTTGGCCAAATGTCACCTGTCATATTAACATGTGTTGAGGTATAGTTTAAAATAAAGTTGATCAAATTGATGGATGATTCTTACGGTTGGTTGTTTTGTCTCGTTATTGCCGTTATAGTCATCTTCCTCTGCAGTAATAATACTCTTTGAGCTTGCTGTCTCTCAGGGTCAGAGCTTTTAGGAATCTGTGATAATGTGAAGAGTCTTTCAGAGGGTTTATGCGTGTATAACTCTTTCTGCAGGAGCACTTTAATTATTACTCGGTGGACAGCGCTCTGGGCCACCTGGTCTTCTCGGTCAAGTATGATGTGATTGGAGACCAGGAGCACCTTCGACTGTTGCTTAGGTACTTCAAACAAACACTCTTGACTATTCCCAGATGAAAAATGTATTGCTTTCATGTTTTGAACTCCATCTTGTTGCAGATGTTCCTCCTGAAATACCTTAGGAGATATATAAAAGTAAATTGCTGATATACAGTTTTGTAAAAGTATAGAGCCAATCTCAGGTCTCAGAACAGACACCTCATTCCCTTGTAATGCTACTTCCTTATATTCGATTTACAAATCCTTTTTGCTACCTCAATTGATATCCAGGTCAAGAAATTGAATTGGAATTTAAAAGATACTTTCAATTCAGTTCTGAATGGTGCACAACCCTGTCGCAGACACTTTTCTTTTTAAAGAAACATTCATGTCCACATTCTCCTGTCACATATTCTCTCATTATTCATTTTCGAAGATGTTCTGACTTAAGTGCTCTAAATGGCCAGCAGAAACACAAGGGCACATCCATTCTTTATAACCTAAAACCTGTCTCGAAGCCCTTTAATGATGGGGATGGGAACAAGAGACAGTGTACATGTCAGAGAGAGGTTGATCTGTAAAGCCTCTCTTTTATAAAGGGATCTCTTCAGGGACTCTTTGAATGTTGTGTATTGGCTGCAAGATAATTGACAAGGGCACCTGTGAATGCTGGAGTGATTCACATGGCTACTTTTTGATAGTTGAACTACCATTGATCTCTCTCTCTCTCTCTCTCTCTCGCTC